TGTTAATGCTCGTAGCTCAGTCAGCCCGTTTTCTGGTGAGTGGTTTTGTGATACACGAGGAGAAGGAAAGAGAGGGACAAGGCGCATAGCAATTTATTATTGTTGTTCCTTTTCATACATAATATTTACATTCAATCAGCAACCCACGCTTTTTTATAATACGAACAAACTGGCTTCTTTAAGCTTGAATTGTCTGAGAAGATGTTTTGTAGTGTTGAATTTTTCACAGCATGTATTTGTAGTTTCATATTAATTTTTGGGGATTACTAAAAATTGTGTACACAGAAATAATGTAAGATTTTTATGCAGAAAACTGCCTTAATATTCCGGTCAGAGATAACTTATTCTGTATTTTGATCTGGCACTCTGCCCTTTCTTTTATTCCTGAATGGATGCTCAAAATTTCGGGAAAAAACTTCTCGATTGTTGTGCAACGAGATATCATTCTCATATGAAAAATATTTTATATTTTTATTTTGTGTTATGATACGCATGTGTAGTAAGTAAGACGCTTTCAGTGAAATGAACTGTAATCACAAGTTCTCGGAATCCTCCATCAAATATTTTTGAATTCCTTTCACTTACAAGTCAACAATGTAATCTTACTCGACGATAAGATTTGCAAATAAATTGGCACGTAGTGCTTTCAAGTGCAAATAGTTGTTTTGTGTCAGGTCTTACACATGTCTCTAGACTCTTTAAATCATGTGAAAAGGGTCGAGCATGAGCTCATGAAGTGCCTAAGCATATTTGCAGAGAGTTTCAGTCCAAGGTCTTTTTCACGAGCATGTTCTCCTCGTGATTTATTTCATCATAACCATTCATTATCTTGATTTACAAATCGCCTTTTTTTTTATTGTACCGTACTTATTTATTTATTTCAATATTCAAGTTTTTTGAATATTAATGAGTCTCCACGTTTAGGATCCCCCAAATCGTTGCTCACCGATGAGCCGCGGTGCTCAGATCTAAGATATAGACTATAGCTGCCCGAATGTACTATGAATCTTTTTTGTACATCGAAGCCCAAGGCTTCGGAGAAGAATTATTGAGCTACATCACAACCGACGCGCGACGTTCAGAAACCTGCTGCTCAGGGTGTCAAATATGCATTCTTCTCTGCCCTCAGAAAATGTTTATTGGTCTTGTTTTAACCCAGCGTAGTTCTTCCTTTCCTTTTTGATAACAACATTTTTCTCGCTTTGGATACAGCCAAGTACAACGTTTTTAGATTTTTGCATTTTTACTGTTTTTATTCAACTGAGGAAGGCTGAGTTTTCAGCCGAAACATTTTGGTGGTTATGTGGAAATTAGCCTTATCACCCGCTTTTTAAATTGTTATTAGTGTCTTCCTTTCCTCCATCTCTACGGAATCTCATTCTCACGAGGCATCTGTTTTTTTTTTTTTTTTTTTAAAAAAAAAAAAAAAATCCAGAGGTCTATAAGTGTTTAAAGATGACTTTTTAAATAATCGCATAGCATGCTACCCTCAAATAGATGTATCTTAATGATAACCAGGATGGTAGGATAGTGCTCAGTTTGCATTTTTCTGCGGGGAAGTCAAGACCATAAAATGATGGATCCAACCATATTCATTGGAGATTTCGATGGCAACCAAAAAAATATAATGAAATTAACCTTAATGATGGTAGTATGCTAATTTCCATAATTTCATCTCTACTAGACAGGCGGCTTTAACCGTATTTTATGGTGGCGTCAAAATCAGCTCTAAATCTGATGAGATCTGCTATTCCTTTTTTTTCGTATACACCTCGGTCCCCTTGAAAGAGAGGGGTAATAGTTGTACAACATTCTGCGATTAGGAACTATAAGTTTTGGTTCAGTTTTAAAACAACGTAACGCACGTACCAACAATGTACCATTAGTTTCCCTACGTGCATAAGTGTTTTTTTCGGATGAGCCAGAATATATAGTTCCTAATTGCAAAATGAAGTCCAATTAGGGTTTACCTAGATTTCAGACAAGCGGGGCACGGTACGTCGATACGTGCTACCCTCCCCCCTCCCCC